AGCCGCATTAGGGGAACCTGTTCAGCCAAATGTCCAGATGATGCAGATGATGCAAAGCAGAAACTTGCATTTCTTGCATCCCTAAAGCCTTCAAGATACCCAACATTAGCGCGAAAGCACTTTAAGCCGGCTCCAAAAACGTGAAAAAACACAGGATTCTAGAGCAAAAATGCCCCCCCCCTAGCTAAAGCTATTGTATACTGACGATACTAACGGATTGCAAGCATGCCCTATAAAACGCCTCAGCACCTTCGGTGCGGGCGGATTTCCAATGACAATGTTGTTCCAACTGACCAACAAACAAGACAACTTAACCAACGAACTAAGACAAGACATGACCTCAAGCTAAGTACAAGAAACCAAAGTAAGAACACAGAAGGAAGTACACCTAGGAAAACAGGACTTTCGTCAGTTGCTCGTGTGCATGAGCGTGCATTTGGAGGGAGACACAGACCATTTACCTGCCACAGTACAACACTCTCACTGTCTATATGATTCTATATGTATGCTGTTCTGCACATACGTAGATGTGCATGTAGCGAATCTTTTATCTACTCATTGAGGATGCAAAAGGTCTTCTAGCATCGAACCGGCCAGGGCGCTCACGCACGGATGACGTGGCTGCTCCGTACTGCTGCCCGACACCTCCTGTGTCACCGCAAGCCTGCCGCACCGGACCCGTGGCAAGGCGCTGACACGTTTTACCAGTTGTGCGCACTTCTTCGAACGCTGTGAGAAATGCATGGAAATGCACTTCAGCGGCACTTCACTTAACCCGTGTTAAACGCTGCCTTCCTACGCAGAAGATTCATGGAGTTGTTGTAGAAGAGTGTTTTTATTGTTCGCCCAGCAGCCGTGGAAAAGAGCGCGGAACTTCGCAATGGGCAATCTGAACACAGCCCAGAGATGTGAAAAACATGTTTGTTAAACAATTTATGCAGGATCAAGTAGGTTTCTGACATGTCAGGACAAAATATGTCCAGGCGGTCCACCGCTTTTGCCTGGCACTTACGAAGTCGTGAAGCTTTACATCCAAGGAAGCATTGACAGTTTTACATAATGAGAACGTTTTTTCCTCACCAAAACAAACCAACGCAGTCTGAGGTGACTTCAAGACATTTAGGCTAGCTGACCCGCCTGCTAACTGAGGTCCTGGAGTCTATGCTTACTGCTATGATGATGCGATGGGGCTTCTGCAATGCTCCCCTGACTCGTACTATTCCTTGGAGTTCTTTTGTGACCGGTCTGCACACTGGTGTTCCAAAAGAAGAAGCCACATCTATTCTGAATATGTTTGGTTCTTGGTTTCAATCACTAAACATTTCAATACAATACAAAAGGGCCAAGTTCTTCTGGGGTTCATTTTATTGAGCTCTTGTTGTAGTAGATTGGACACTACTTGTTGACTGAGGCCCCTCCACGATTCCATCCTGGAATTACTTGTGGGTCACCACCACGCGGTCGACCATCTCGACGACCCAAACCCGTACGACCATGACAACCACCTCAAGAACAACAGCCACTCGAACATCGACCTCCAGAACGTGGACATCGAGAACCAGCACACAGACAACCAGAACAGATTCTTGTTTGAAACGAGTGACACAGACGACGGCCGTTCCCGGAAAGGACCGAGGGCCCACGTTTTGACCGAGGGCACCTTAACATCCTTTTTTGTTGGAATGTTCGCGGGTATCGCACGCTAATGACAGAACCTTTGCTACATTAATTTTGGTTCTTCTACACCACTCAGCTTAGCGCTTGTGCCCTCAACTACAAATATAGGGTTTGGTTTACTCTGGCAGAGGGGCCACCCGGTGAAGAAAAACTGGGCTTTGGTGCTTTGTCTCGTGCATTGTGCCGTTGCTGGTTGCCACTGGACATGGTGGCAAAGTCCACATTCGTTTCAATCTATTTTGTCCCTTATCAGGAAACGACCAGCACCAACAATGAGGCCTGGGAAGAACTTGTGAGGGAGAAGTGAAAGGGATCAGAGATATGTGAAGACAAACAAAATGCCAACGAATCTTCTCTTGTTTTTCCCTGTGCCGCCGGTGCCTGCTTAATTTGCAGAGAAAACACTTCCAGAGGTTGTTTGTCATTCTTGGAAGCGTTTTGAAGAAAGTGCTGCTCGAGCTGCCAAGGTGGGGGACTCGATAGCCGATAGCCCATGCCACTTATTCATGAGAAGATCGGCTTGTGCATCCATAGGCGTAGTGTTTTTTGAGCCCTGATGAATCCAACTTTTGCCAGACAGCTGCGGAGTGGATCAGGAGTGCGGGTTCACTTTCGGAGTGGAGCATATTTGATTTCATTTTTTGCATTCCAGTCCTGAAAAGAATCCTTAAAAAGCTGTTACGCTGTTAGGCAAACTGAGATTGATTAGAATGAGTTCGCCGCGTCCTGAACACCTCAGTCTTTGATACCAACTTGATAGTTTATTTGTTCCGCTGTGTAGTCACTCTGCGTGTTTTGCGATAATGCACAAGTAAATTCCAGTTTGCTAGACCACTCCAAGTAAGTAAGCAAGTAAGTAAGTAAGCAAGTAAGCAAGCAAGCAAGTAAGTAAGTAAGTAAATAACTCGACAGGGAACTCTTGCCAGGACTCAGGAGGCTGCAGGCTGGTGGGACAAGTGTAGATGGGTGGTTGACCGCTAGAATCACCTTGGAACATCCACGAGAAGCATGTGAGATTTCTTTTCCAATCACACGATTCTCGATTGCTATGTCTAAATCGATTCGGCTGCCAGTCTTTTGGTGACGAGTAGAAACGGAGTCGACGGCGCTAAAGAGAATTCGCCTGGCGAGGGATCTTTCTGTGTTGCTGTGTCCGTGTCCACGAGAGCCGCCTTCAGGGGAAAGATCATTGCCTGACTCAGCCAAGGCTGGTAGACCATGCCAATCTGCAGAGTCCTTGTGGAAACTTGACCACGCCATGGAAGCATGCCATGGGTCTTGAGTGTTTGAATAGCGAGGCATTGAATATCGTTGAATAGAGTATCATTGAATAGGACTTTGTCCGACTTTGTCCCCATGTGTGTGCTTGTTTGGCAATATTTTTTTTTTCGGATTTGGGTCAATGAAAGAAGCATTTCAGACATGCTTCTTGAGATGCTTGTTTGATTGTCACGCATAGGCCGCATAGGGTTTGTTTTACTTCCAAGAGCAGGCAATGTTTTGATTTGACATTCTGCAATATGAGGGAATCGGGTATGCTTTTTGGTGAGTCAAAACAGAAAGACAGCAGGTGGGAAGATTGAGACAGACACAATGCCTTCCTTGATGAACCACAGAATCTTATCTTCCACGATGGCAGGCCTTTTATCCAATTGCTGGGGCTGGTATTGGCATCGCAACTTGGCAAAGATACCTTTTAGTGTCAATTTAACGTCCAGACTTGTCAACCAATCCTGGAGTGAATCACCTTTGACCTGTCACTATATCTCCCAAACTTGACAACGTCCAGCGCTTTTCAATCAATACAATGCAATCTCCCGAAAAAGTGATCACCAACTTGCACACACATATATATGTATACTGTATATATATATATCCATATACATGTATGTTTTTGTATATGTATATGTATATGTGTATATGTATATGTATATGTATATGTATATACACACACGCGCGCTCACAGGCTCAAGTGCTCCCTCTTTGTGAAGGTAGATTATGCGAGTGTTAGTGCAGATCACCATTTTGTTGGGCCTGGATTTTAAGATAGGAAAGCAATGAAATGGATTGGCTTGGAAGTGAAACTGAAGGTCGTCATGTTTTTCGTTTCCATCCATAGGGTGTATGGTGGAAACAGGGGAACGGCATACCCGGTAGCTTTGGAGCATTTCAACCCGCCGCGTTCAGGTGGGACTCATGTCCGTCGGCGTTTGCCTCCTTCAACGGGGCAGTGTCGAGCCACGTGGAGGAAGCGACAACACTCCGCTATTGCCACCTGAGTGATTCGGAGAACTATCTTTTTACGGCCGGTCTAAGAACCTGGAGACAGGGGCAGGGGAGACAGGTCAAAAAGAAGACGGCAGGAGCTCACAAATTCACATGGTTTTAACATGTTTTAACTAGCGCTGGGGGTTCTTCACTTTAACATGTTTTAACTAGCGCGCTGGGGGTTCTTCGCTGTCCCCGAATCCGCGAATCCGATTGCGAAGTTCAGAAGCTCCAGTTCCGGACTCATCTGAAGGAAGAGCCTTGCCACCCGAGATGGATAGTTGGACTTTTTGAGAGAACCTGTTATCCAGCAATGTGATTCTTTACATCTCGGCGACCTTATATATCTCACAGAAATTTCGAGGCCCCTGCAACCCCGTAGAAAGCACGGAAAGCAAGCAGTCAACCAAAAAGAGTCATATTCTCCAGAAGCTCGAAAGGCACGTACTTCAAAAAATTCCTACAACTTCACTTCCTTGACAGTCGCATATCGCTTGCGTTGAGTCCGATGACAGTCATCCTGTCAATGAATACAGTTATCCTTGCGGAGATCAATGAGTCTTGAAAGAGCTTCCTTCAAGAGCTGCAAGCTGTAGAGCCGGGCCGGTGCGGCGCTCATGCAGAGCCTCCAGTCGTGCGTTCTGGGGGTGGAAACAACCCGAAGACCCAGAAACTCTGATGGATACCGTATATAATATGTATATGTGTATTATATCGATATGACCATATGAATGTGGATTCTGGTGTTTAGACATTCAACTTTTCAACACAGTTTAGGCCAAGCAGTTTGCAGCTCCATAGATTCGGATGTGTTCCATGGGTGTGGTTGGCAAAAGCCACCAGGCCGAATGTTGGCGACTGGACATGCCTGGGCTGCCAGAAAGCAGCACTTTTGTCACAGTTCTCCACCTTTCATGCTTTCTTTATTTTTCCTTCAATGCTTTGGCCTTCTTGGCAGGTGCTAAATCCTGGCGACCTGGTGCTTGTGCAGCAAGAGTTGCAACTGAGGCCTGGCATTGTTGGTCAAAATATCACAAAAGTCGGCCAAGAATAATGTCGGACCTGCACAATTTGCTGAAGCAACTGCCTTGGTTCTATGTGGCCTTTAAGTAGCTCGAACTGCATCATGCCTTTCTCTGCAAGATCGGCTCAAACCTGTTCAACACCCACATTTACCGAAACCGAACTCTTTGGCAAGATGCTTCGCATCGCCTCTCTTGCTTTAGGATTGGCCTTGTCCAGAGGCCAGCACAGCTGTTTGAACATCTGTGCATTTCCGATACCAGTGAAATGACATCTGTGACATCTCTTCAGAAGGGGACGTGTTTTTACCCTCAAAGAAAATCTTGCAAGTAGCTTTGCACCCATGGTTTTTTGCAGCGCAATAGGAGCCAATTGACTGACAAAACATGCTTAAACAACGGTTGCAGGGGGGCAGCTGTTTTCTCAGGTCAAGACGACTGCGCCCACGGTGATGGAAATGCTCTTCTCCAGTCAAGACGTGGAAATTCATCTCTGGCTTTGTTGTCTCCAGAGGATACTGAAAGCATCTGAAAGCAGTAGAATGCGTCGCATGGATCCATTCTTTGTATTTACCAGGCTACCGCCTGCAGCCGCCGACCCCCAAGGGATAGAACCTTAGCGCTAGCCTTGCTCTATGTTAGCCTTAGCCCTGATCTGCTCTAAAAATTGACAAACTTATTTTTAATCCCGGCCAATGCTCAGGAATTTTCCCAGGAAGGGGCTGGGCTTTGTGTAGAATTTGCGCTGGACGAGGTCCAGCCAGTGCCCGTGGTAATCTGCCCTGGGAAGATTTTCGCATGCTTGTCAGGCGCCCGTGTCCGCGGCATGTGGCGTGTTGGTTCTAGGACGGAGCAGCGCAAACGGAAGCTTGGGCAGGTGGTGGCGAGGTTCTCGCGCCAGCGAGGGAAGAGACCGTAGCCATGTACATGCGGGTGGCACGCGCGGGTGGCGGAATGTCTGCAGTGCGGTAGGCCGGGGGGGGGGGGGGGGGGAAGGGGGGGGAAGCGGGTGGTTTCACGGTGGGAGGAAGGACCCGGATGTGGGGAGGGTAGGGTTTCCTGGAGCACCCCTGGAGTCGGGTGAGAGGCAGGCGGTGTCTGTGTTATGCGTTTCCTGGGGGAGAAGGGCGCTGCCCATGGTGTTCGCTAGGTTGCTTCAGCCAGCGAGGGCGTTGCCCATGTATGTCCCCTTATGCAGGCCACGGAAAGCTGCTCGGTGTAGTGGTCGTGGGCGGACAACGCCGGCGCGCAGTGCGTTGGCAGGCTGGCGGAAGCCGACGGCTGCCGGAGCTGGACGAGGCGCGCAAGGGATGTGTAGTGGAGTGTGGAGTGAAGCTAGGGGATGCGAGCGCCGGGGTGCGATGATCGGGTCTAGCGCGGGCGGAGCGTGAGTTGGGAGTTACCGGCAGCACTTTTGGCTGGAGAAGTGTGGTTGCGATGGCTGCTGATGGTCCAGGGGCAGCTCGCGGGAAGGGACTGGACCATGAGGACTCCGTGGATCCGGTCCTGGAGGGCAGGTGGCGAGGGCTTCGTGCTCCCCGGCGGGCAGACCTGGAGGAGTGTGGATGCGGTGGCGCAGGGCGCTGCCCATGGTATAGGGTACAATTCAAGGGCCACGATGGTGTTGCTCGTGACCACCACGGGCATGTTTTGTGACAAAGCTTTGTGGAGCATCGTGTCTCGCCAGAAGGGCTCGGCGCTGCAGCCGGGGCGGAATAGGAGCTCTTGCGGGGCAATCTATGTGTTCTCGGAGCTTGGTGGCAAGGTAGACAGGAAGAGGCAAGGGCAGCATGAGGGGCATTGGTCTGTCGCACAGGCGCGGCAACAGAGGATCGGGTACACCGGAGCTGGAAGAGTGGATTCGCGGGAGATCCGAAGCGGGTGGAGCGACAGGGCGCTGCCCATTAGTTGCATGGCCGGAGGGAAGGGGACTGCGCGGCAGACTTGCCTGAGGGCCGAAGTGGTGGCTGTGAAGGAGAACAAGGCTGAGATGTGCGCGGGACAGCAGTGGGTCGTGATTGATGACCACGGCGTGACTTGCAGGAGGCAGGCGGCGCTGAGGTTGCTGCAGGGGCCGGAGGAGGTGGCTCATAGAGCGAAAATGTTTCGCGGCACGGGGGCTGATATCTGGACTAGACACAGTCTGGTGCAGAAGGCGATCGCAACAGGCAGCACGGATTGGGAGGATGCGGCCGAGGAGACGATGCTGCACTGTGTCCAGATCTGCTGCAATTCAGCCGCGAGAGTGGCCTCCATGAAATATACATCAGCTCGGGCGATGGGATATATGAGCCGCCAGCAGCGGCAAGTGGGGCTGAGGACGCGCTGGAGCAGGACGCTGGCAGTGGAGCGGGATCGTCGCCTGGAATGTGGAGGAGGTGGCAGTGTCTAGGGCGCTGCCCATGGCCGCTGCAGGAGTGGGCTAGGGGCGGACCCGCCCCCAGGCGGAGGCATTCGCTGCTGTCGGAATCCTGGGGGCGCTTTGTCGTCCAGGAGCTGCGGGGCCAGGCGGGTGCTTCCCACGGAGCAGCACACTAGAGGAGCTGGAATGATAGATGCTCTGTCGAGGGCCGTGTCTATAGGGCAGCAGGGTTGAGCCAGACAAAAAAGGAAGCTGGGCGGCAGGAGCCGCGGCGCAGGGCAAATGGTTAACCTTTTGCCAACCTATTTTGTGCCAGTGTCCCCGGCCAATGCCCGTAATTTTTCTTAGGAATGCTCTTGGTGACCATCAGGGGCAGGTTTTGTGACAAAGCTTCGTGGGAGAAGGGCGCTGCCCATGGTGTTCGCTCAGTTGTGTCAGCCAAGGGGGCGTTGCCCATGTATGTTCCCCCGTGCAGTCCATGGAAAACTGTTCGGTGTAGTTGTCGTGAGCGGAAGATGCCGGCGCGCAGCGATGTGGGAGGCTGGCGGAGGCCGACGGCTGCTGGAGCGGGACGAGGCGCGCAAGGGGGTCGGTTAGTGCCCTGCTCGGGCGCGTTGCGTTCTACGCGGCGTGGCGGAGTAGGGCGCTGCCCACGGAGGCTGGAAGCGCGCTCGTCGCAGCGGGCGTTGCTTCTGCGGAATGGGTCGCAGTGTAAGAACAGACAGCTAGGCGCAGTAAATGGTTGTTTTTCGTTGGGGAGGGTCTGTGGGGGATTCGTTGATGTCCGGCGACAGCGACAGCGCAGCGGCAAGGAAACACCTGTGTGGGCGAAAAAAAGGACGGAGGCCAAAAAGGCAGATAATGTTGACACAGGTTGTGCGTGCACGCGGTGGACACACATTGCAGCACGCGTGGCTCGGACGTCAGCTTGGTGGTAGCTTCCAGTGAATTTTCTGTAGGGCGAAGTAGCATGGAAGAGGACCCCGTGCTGGACGAGCTGGTGGTGGCCCTATTGGAGGACATGGTGCGCACGCAGATGGAAGGAATTCCGAGCTTTTTGCGGACAGAGAAAATGGACGAGCAGGTCCGCGAAGAGAAACGGGCGGAGGCAGTACAGAAGGCGGCCGAGCTCCGGGCAAGGTACGGGTGGCTGCAGCTGCCCGTGGACTTCATCGTCGGCTTGCCCTTGGAAAGGGCCGAGGAGTTACAGGAGGTGGTGAAAACAGCTTGGGAGTCGTTTTGGCAGAGTTTGCCAGAGGTGGCAAAAAGTCACCTGGACGCGGCATCCGCCAAGGCAGAGTGGACGAAACAAGAAGCCCGAAAGTTGGTGGAGGCAACGCTGGCACACGCGGCCCCATTTCGTTTCCGACCGGAGGTGGAGGCTATGACTTCGTTGGAGCGTCAGTTGGTGGCAGCAACGACGGAGGCAGTGGCCGGCAAGCTCGGAGTTGCGCTGCAGCGAGCGGTAGAGCAGGACATGCAGAAGCTTCCGGAGTACTTGCGCACCAAGGATGTCCGAGAGAGCGTGCAGAAAAATTTGTACTACTCGGTGCTGCAGTCGGAACTCGCGTTGGCGGGGGTTACCCCTGCCGAGTCAGTCGGGGAAGAGCGACAGGAGGATTTGGTGCCCGAGGAAGCCACAGCGGCTACGTCGCCAAAGCACAAGAAACAGCGCGAGGACATGGTGGACCCAGCTGTTGGTGCAGCGGTAGCAGTTGCGGAGAAGTTGGTGACTTTAGGAGAAGCAAAAGAAAATGGGAAAAGTGTCAATGCAATTGCGGTGAAGATCCTACGGGTGCCAAGGGCCGAGAATGTGGCGAAACCGAGAGGCGGGAAGGAGGTGCGCACCTTCACGATCTTGGTTGCGGATGAGGAGGGGAGGGGGAATTGGAGGAAGGTCGGTATGTATGTGTTTTGAGTTCGCGAATATGGACTGTATGTATGTGTATAGTGAATGTGGACTGACAGCCCTCAACAATGCCCTGCAGGAAGCACGATTCACCACGGAATCCATGCAAGCAGCCGCAGACGCGTATTTGCGCGCCCTGGAAGGAATCGACGAGGACCGAGGCGAGCGCATTTCTGACACTGGATGGTACAGCGTCCAGGTGCTGTACACGGCCCTATTCAGTGCCGGATACACTTTGGATATTGACAACCCCATCAACACCCCGGCAAGCTTGGAGAACTGCATTGGATGCATCCCAAATTGGCAGAATACGCACTGGGTGGCCTATATAATGGTTGGGGAAGAAATTTTTCTCTGTGATTCCTTGAAGCCGCGGCCTGAGAAAATATCCGCAGCCGCGCTGGCAGCTACGCTGCCACACTGCCCAACGTATGCCATCCGTGCATAGCTGCTCCTGGACGCCCCCCGGACCACGTCGTCTCGCGCGACGCAGTCGCCAAAGACAACGCCTGCGAGAAAAAAGACCATGCGTGGGTGGACCGCGGTTTTTTGTCCCAGATTGACCATCGGACGTCATCTCTTGCATGAACCCCGTGCTGCGGAGTAGACCCAACCCTTCACCACCAAAGCAGATACCCAAAAAGTCGACTTTTTGGGTACCTCCTAGGTTTACCATCGGACGTGGTCTCTTGCATGAACCCCGTCCCCATAAATGACCCACCCCAGCACCACCAAAGCAGGTACCCAAAAAGTCCACTTTTTGGGTACCTCCCGATTTACCATCGGACGTCAGCTCTTGCCCGCAGGGCGCTGCCCATGGTCTAGGATACAATCAAGTGCCAAAAGTGTCGGCGCCCGGACTTGTGCTGAAAAGATCGGTTTCTCCCGGCGACCCAACCCATTACCACCAAAGCAGCGCCCCAACAGTCAACTCGGCGCCCGGACTTGTGTTGAATCGATCGGTTTCTCCCGATGACCCAAGCCATCATCACCAAAGCACGTACCCAAAAAGTCAACTCAGCGCCCGGACTGGTGCTGAATCGATCCGTTTCTCGCGATGACCCAACCCAGCATCACCAGAGCAGATACCCAAAAAGTCGACTTTTTGAGTACCTCCCAGATTTACCATCGGACGTCGAAATCCTGCTGTCCAGGCACACTCTATCGCCGAGGACCCCTCGCAGGCCAAACTGCAAAGGTGGGTTCTAATCGGACGTCAGCTCTTGCACAAGCCCCGTGACGCGTTGGGT